ACTATTATGTCTGAGTAGTTAAAAGTGTATTTTAATGCTTTGTAGATTACAAAAACATTCTGTCGGCCCAATCAGTCGTGGAGGCACAACGAGCGATCAGAACAAACAAGCGCAAATGCGACCAACGCGTGAGCAAAAATGTCTAATTATGGGGCGGGGGTGGGGGCGGAGCTTCTGTCAAAACCAATAAGCACGCTAAGTAGAAAATTGAGCTCGCCAGCAAAAGTATGTTTAACTTACACTCTATGACCTTGAAAATCTGCGTGAATTCGTAGTCAAATACCAGGTCACTGGGTTGAGAGGCCTTTAATTGGGAACTCTGAAGAGCTAGAATGAAGACCTCAGATCGGGAAATTTGGTTTATCCTTTTGGTGAGATCGTCAACACCCATGCGTTCATCGATTATCTTAACCAATGCTTTGCTGAAGAAGGAAGAAGATACATTTGAAAATGTCAAAACGGAGATAGGTGAATGTGAATATATTCTGCTAGACTATGTTTACTAAAATAGGAAATAAGTTGGCAATTAGAGGCGAATTATATGACCTAAAGGTCGTGGTGTACATAGCAAGGCAAAACTGTGTAATGGATAGGAAAATGGGAAGTTTAAAATGTACGACAGTCGGTAGACGGATATTTATTAAAATGGACGTTATACTTTGATACCAGATGGGTGGTTGACTTGAAAGTGTTAGATAAAAAATTTACTCAGGCTAATATCTCATAGATTCAGGGTAGGTTTGGGGTATAAATCACTGATGAAGGCAAATGAGGCCCAACACGTGCATATGGGACTGATCTTAAGACACTGCAAAAGTGCATTCACCACGCCCAGCATTTGCGACCGTATAGAAGAACAGACCGCACATCTAGTTGTACGACATACACGGACCTTCGTGGCAATAGAAATATCGCAATTTGGTTGGAAAACGCCTGAGCTTCGGTACTTCCTCTAAGCAATAGATTCCCACCTTCAGCAAAGTTTGTTTCGAGAGTCTGGTGACTTGCTAAGGCAGCGAATGGGAATAACTACTGTACCAAAGCGAACGCGCTTGACAATCACTTATTAACAAGTGTCACATATCAGACAGTGAACACAGACTGGACACAGGCCTGGGCTTCGCCCCGTGGCGGGACATTCGGCCCTGAACAACGCCAGCGGCACAACTGCCACCCGAGACAGCAACTCCGGTTTTTGTAAATAATAAACTCTCCTCCGGGTGACTTTCATTTTTAGGCCCTCCTTGTTGTGTAACTCCTTGGGGATTCCAAACAGGGGCGTAATTAGACGGTGACACTACATAGATGCCACCGTTACAACAAGTTCCCTGAAGTGCAGTAGGAGATATTGCATTTTTTAACAGAATTTGGTTGGAAGGGGTAAAAGCGGCAGAGTAAACCGTCAAGTTACCTGTCAAAGCCCTCAACGGCTCCACCATTGTAGCGGACACAGATGCCAATTAGAAGGGCAGATAGGCTGCTGACAACGTTCACCTCGTCTCCGTCACCAGCTGAAGCCTCGGATATTAGATGGGATAGTATAGCTCCCTTTGCTGTCTCCTCGCCCGATTTGAGAGAAAGGAAAGCGTGTACAGCAGGAGTACAGTGAGCTAGCCAGACACACAGGAATTG